AAAAATATCAATAAAAAAAATGTCTCTAGTTAAGTTCCATTTTCACCGAAATTTCACAATTCCAATGATCATATGTATGTAAGATTCCTTTATTTCATTAACTTTTGTTATTTATGTACTATAATAGCTGATGTCAAAATATACTTGAAAGGATAAAATTTCGTCTATACATGGTAAAAAAAAAACTAGCAAAATTTTGTACGTATCCCAAGTGAATAATAATCGTTTGTATGTATTATTGCATGTAATTTCCTACATTAATGTCACTATCTGAGGCTTGAGAACTAAATTTATTTCTGTAATCTCTTGATAGGGTGATATCTGAAAAAAGTGTTCAATTTCATTTGTCTTCTTTTTTTTCAACTCGTAAAATCGACTATGGATGAAAAAAATAGTAAAATACTAACCTGGTTCGACACTTATTGTAGAACTTATTCCTTTAGATGTTCGTTGACTACCAGGTATAGTTTTAATAATTCTTGGTTGATCTGAATCATCAGTTTCATATGAATCTGATTGTCGTTTATTATTATTAATATTTTGATTCGTTGTATTTGTTATTACTGATGATGTATTTGTACTCGTTGTTTCTTGTACTGGTACTGTTGATTCATTATCATTGCCAATTCCAATTCGATCATGAACTGCTTGAACAGCATCCTATTATCAACATAAATATAATATTCAAAAAAAAATGAATTATTTTATTTACCACTAAATTCCAGTTATATTGTTGTAGAATATGAATACATTCGTCTAAATGTTCTAAACCTGTGAAATTCTACGTAAACAAGAAGAAATAAAAAAAAAATTTTTATTTCTATGAAAAATAAATTTCCAAAATTTACTTGAAAATCAGATAAAATTTGTTCACGAGAATCGTTACTCATGTTAAAGAAAGAAAAATCTGAAATAAAGTTACATTTATTAGTAATCATAAAAATAATTTCGTTATTTTTTTTTAGTTAAAAAGAAAGGAACAAGAATATAAATATATACATAATCACAGTTATATATCTCGTGATGTTAAATATCATTCAAATTAATTATTCAGGAAATTTTGGTAATGGACGATTAACAGTTGGCGTTATTTCATCATCGTCATCATCATCATCACCATCATTATCATCAGGATTAATATGTAATTGTCGAAATCTATCTGGAAAATTATTATTATTGTAATTAGGTAAAAAAGATCTATGAGAATCATAACTTGAAAATCCCGAATATTGTGAAGGATTTCTATCGAAACTTAACGGTGAAAACATTTTTGTTGGCGGATAAATATCACGATGATCATGATATTTTGATGAATGATGAAAATCTTGAGTTCGACATAACGAGTTCATAATGAATTGATTCGATCGTTCCTATATAAACAATTGTTAATTATTAAACAAAGCTTTTTTTATATTAAGAAAAATAAATAATAAATTTACTTTTTCTCTTTCGAAATTTTCTTCACTAATATCAAAACGATCTTTATATTCTATTAATTGTGCAAGAAATTCATCAACAACTGGTCTCTTATTTGAACCATCAATAATACGATCAAATAAATAATCATTATTTGTACTACGACGAATACCAATTAATAATGGATATTGTTCAGTTGTACCTGTACCAATCGAGTGTCCAGGTTTCCATTGTGAAAATGTTGTTTTCAATATTTCATTCAGCCTTTTTAAAAATTAAAAAAAAAGAGATTTTAGTCAATACTTAAAAATTCATAGATTTAAGACTATTTGCTTATATTCATTGAATATAGAAGAAACTATTATTCATACGTAACTAACTACTGAATTATTAAAGCTTATTCAACAAAACTTTCCTATTGATCAAGTTACTTTTTTTCGTTTATTATCATTGCTTTTAATCATAAAAGGTTTGTTCAACGGCATGTTAACGAGCATGCAATACCAACTTTCTACAAGATTATTTTTCTACATGGATGAAAAGAGCACAATGACTTCTCTGAAAAAAAAAACGAGTTCACGAATTTTTATAAGTGAAAATATAGTTGGCTACCATTCTTACTCGTTTTGCAGTAGATTTTTAGACATTGTTTTCTGATTTTTTTTAAATAGAAAATTGATTAGAAATAGTAAATTCTGAAGTCTATTTTTTTTTGAAATCAACTTTACGTAGATTATCAAGTAACGATCTTGAAGAATTTTCTACAGAACGAATGCAAAATACATTCACTTATATATGAAAACTAGTTACTTTTTTTCAACGGTATTTTCATTGTAGAAAAAATTTTTCTTCTTTATTTTGCATTGCACATACTTTGGTTAAATTGAAAATGTCGGCTAACAGATGACGTACAAAGAAAGAGATACTTTGTTCTGTGTTTATATGGATTTCAGGTGGTTTGTAAAAACATCATTTTCAGACAATAAAAAGGTAAAGAGTTTTCAGGTCTGCACTAGTAGAAATCTTTTGATTTAAAAACATTCTATTTGTGTATCAAAAGAAAACTAAACATAACGAGATAGAAAATTGATGCTTCACTCTATAATATCTTTTTTTCAAGCATTTTTTTTGTACACATTCCGATTGATTTTATTAAAACCGTTTTTTGTTGTCGAATGCATCTGTGTGCACAATGTGCATTATATTATAAATAAAGTGAATTGAAATCTTCGTTTATTTAAACATTCATTAATATTTATACGATTGTTTTCCAAACAAAAAAAAAAACTAAAATTTCAATTAACATTCATTTTTGAATATTCTTTTAACTCATCTATAAAATAATAATCTTTTGATTTTGTTTTTCTATTCGAATGTAAGCTTTAAAAAGAATTCCTATGGAAAATGTTTTCAAAATCGTTGTTTGGGTTTTTTTAATTAAAATAATTTTTTTGTCAATCAATGAATTGATTTATTTTTCTTGCCTTCTCAAAAATATTATTAAAGAATACTAATGAAATTTTTTTCTATGAATTCATGTTAAATAATAGAATTAGTTTCGTCGGACATTTTTTTTTACATATTAATATTTGTTGTTGGCAATACTGTTCGATAAGACTTTTTTTCGCTAAAAAATGATTCTTTTTAGAAACTGTCTAAAGCTTAAAAAAGACAGAACAAAAATCTTTGATTGTGTATACGCTACTCACTATTGACTTACGAGAGAATCGTTTTCGAGTTCCGGACTTTCTACATGAAGTAGACCCCTGGGATATATAAAAAAAATACTGAAATGATAAGTACCCTTACGATTTTCTTCTACAATCATAACTATTTTTCTAATACTTCTTCAGTCTATGACATGATAGATACCAATAAATAGAATAGTAGTATTTTTATCTGAAATTTTGCTCATGTACAGGTTCATTCATAAACAGAATGCTCTAAAAACTTCAATTAAAGAAAAAAACGTTTATCTTCGAGAAATATTTCAGTTCAAAAAAAAATAAAATAAAATTCTCACAACCTTTCTAGAATATGAATGTTTTTTGGGACTTCATTGTCTCATAAAAATAAAGGGTCATCTATAAATCATGTTCAGATATTTATTATGAATACTTTTCTTTGTTTTTCACACAACTTTCGGCGAAATTTCGAAGAGCATTTTTACATAGGACAATCAGCAGAACATGCATGTGCCGTTGAAATAATTCGAGATTATGCTACATGAGCAGATCGATATTTTTTGGAGAAGCAATAGTAGCGAAGGCGCCCAACTCTTTCCAGAGGTTCTTCAACTTCCTCTAGAAGTGAAATGATCCTATATTATACGCGAAGAAACTATCTGCTTTTCAGTTTCAAACAAAGATTGAGCTGTGTCTCTAAAAAATTTTTCTGGCTCCCTTACTAACTAGGAAAGTTCTCAGCTGCTTTCTTTCGATTTGAATGGTTTCTTACCTATAAATACTGTATAGTGTTCTAATAAAAACCCTAAAAGAATTCGAGTTTCTATTAATATTTTAGTAAGCTTTTGAATTTCTAATATATCCATTATTTAGAGATCTTAGATTTTCGAAGAATTCGATTAGACTAACTTCCATAAAATAAATCAGAAATTTTGAACGACGTCTCTTCAAGATATGAAGCTTTCAAAAAATACACTACGTATACATACTATCCGTAGAAAACGATCTATATCTTAAAGAGACTCTGTTCAAAACTTTTAAAGTTTTCTTAGGAATCTAGTCCAGTTTAGGTCTTTATATTATGTTACAGTTTAGTCAAATCTCAATATTGGTGTTCATCAGAGAGATATTTTTTTATTCTTGCAATTCTAAAATACTTTTCTACATCATTCTTTTATCTAATCTTGCAAAACTGCAAGAAGAAAACGGATCACATGTTTTAACGAGATTTTATTGATATATGATCTTTGATTGCATATGAACAATATGTGTCATTCTCTGTCGGTATGCGGGGAAGATATTGCAAGTTCCTACCCTATATACTTCAAAGCTTCTTTTAGATTGTGTTTCACAAAAGAAGCGTTATATTTCAAAAGGCGAACTTTTTCTGAACGTTTCTGTTTTTTGTATACTGGACATCCAGGAGGCTGGCGTGATACGATTCTTACCTTGCACGTCCATAATGAATGAATTTTAACATTCTTTGGAGTTGAAATCTTTCGAGCATTCAGTTAATAAATAGAACTATGTGTAGACAAATCTTCACGTGGAAATATTGCTATTAGATATATTATTATATAGCATGTATTAAAATTCGAGTAACATTGCTTATTCCTTTGACGTTTTTCATACATCAAGAGGATCTATTTTATGCAAAGAATCATTCCCAGATCAAAAAAACTGACAGTAAGTCTTGTACGATCATATGAAATCGTACAAAAAATCGTAGTCTCTGAAATCTTACATCAATTCTTACTGTAAGATTCCTATAAGATCTGGCAAGACAACAAGATCTGTCACGAATCTTACAATAAAAATTGATGTAAGATTTCAGAGACTACGATTTTTTGTGCGATTCATATCAAATCGTACAAGATCATATATGATCAGACGCAGAATCTTGTCCGATCTTAGTGTCCGATTGTTCGCCCTTGGTTGCTTGAAATAGATCTCTCATTTGTTGAAAAGTTTTACTACAAAATTTTCGTTACAACGATAAGAACTTTCAAATCTAACAAATATATTTTTTCCCAGGTTATATCTATTGAAGTCGAACTTAATCTAAATATACTTATAAATTTTTTAATATGATATTTTATTGACGAATGTTTCTCTGTTTACTAACGTTAATCAATATCGTTCCTCATAGATTCCAAACGACAAATATTTGCTCTTCGCTATAAATACGATAAAACAAAAGAAAAAGATTTTATCAGACAAAAAAACACTTCATATCTTCATATATGTTTGTTTTTGTATTACATATGAAGAAAGGGTATGCACCTGAATATTTACTAATACATATATATATCATCAAGAAAAAAAAACAAAGCAAGCAAACTTGTGATTGAGTTAATGACGCAATAAAATCAGATGAGAGTGACGTAGTAATATTACCTCGGGAATGTGTAACTATTGTCAAAAAAATCTGATTAGCTTCATTCTTAGGAATAAAAAATTTATTCTTATTAGAAACTTTGAAAAACAGAAAAAAAAAACCAAAAGTGAAAATATTTTCTTACTTTTCTCCATTTGATGAAAATGTAACATCCCATGTCCAAAGAACATAATTATTTAATAAATATTCAATAAGTTTATCATGGCATAATAATTGTCTACAAAATACATTTGAATAAACACTTTTATCATTATTCACATAGATAAGAAGTGGTCGGCGCTAGAAGCCACAAAGTAAATAAATTCAAATAAAATACAAAGAAAAAAAGAGAACAAATAAGACATTTACTTCTTTGATTTCTTTCGAATTAAAAGCTTCTTTCAAAGCATCTTCAAGTGTACCAGTAAAAACTACTGGACATGAATTAAATCGACGATTAAGACATGATGTAAAATGTTCAATAGCAGTTATTTCATCTTTACATCCATCAGGCACTATAAAATATTAAAAAAAAACTAACATAAATATATATTCCTTCAAACTCTTTCTTTTCGTACTTAAATGATCTTCAAATTCAGGTGGAGCATCCATAAGTTCATTGTAAAATTCATCGTCTGTAGTTGTAGCATTACTTTTATTATCTACATAATCATCCTCTTCAATATCCGATTCAATCTTAAATAAAAGATATCAACTAAATATATTTCAATAAAACTTTTAAAAAAATTTCTTATAATCACCTTTTCTTCTTGATTGTTTTTATTCTGATAAATATAGAAATTAAAATTTTTATTATCTTAATAAATCAAAACTTACTCCTAATGTCATACTATTGTTTTTATCCGTCATATTTGCTTAATCTAGAGAAAAAAATTGATTTATCACAATATAGATGTGTGTGTGTGTGTGTATGGGTTTTTTTTTAAAAATTCTATCAATATATGAATAAAAAGAAAATCAGCATTGAAAAATGAATAAAAATCATACATAATATCAGTTTTTACTCGAAGACAACAACAAGTTGTTCTTTATGTATTATCTTTATTTCATTAATTAATAAACTTGATAATTCACCAGCTGTATGAGCGACAAAATGACATATATCAGATGATATTGGTCGTCCAGAAAGTAATGATGGAAGATTATTTAAACCAGCATCTGGTATTGCTAAGATTTTTGTTGATGATAAAGATGTTGTTAATAATTGTCTTAAATAATCATTTTCTGTATTTAATCCATTTGTATTTGTATTTGTTTGATGCATATTAGATCCACTATTACTAACATCAATTAATTTTGATAACATCCCTTCAACAATCGATGCCATTTTGTTTTCAGCTGTTTCATTTACTAAAAGTTTTATAATAAAAGAAAAACAAATAAAGAATTTAAATATTCTCATTTTCTATTTTTCTGCATACTTGTTTTAGTTTCTGTTCTAGTTTCATTAATTACAGGTGGTTGTAAAAGTTGTGTTGCTGGTAATACTTCACCATTTGATTGTGAATTCTGAAGTATCGGTGTTATTGAATGATTATTATGATTACCAGATTTACTTAAAAGTCTATTTAAAAAGCAATACGATAAAATCTTAAATAATAAACAAAAAATCAAATAACATACGGTGTTCGATCATTAACTTTGGACGTAGATGATTGACGTTGTGAGTTAATAATCTCCGAATGATTATCAGCATTATTATTCATTTGTGAATCATCTTCAGTTTTAAAACACCATGAACATATATTACCCATTTTTAAACGAAAATTAATACTAATAAAAAGAAAAATAAACGAATATAGAAGATTTCAAGTTGTAAAGAAAACAAAACAGCTGTGATAATATAATAATATGAGTAATATTTTGTATGGTTATTTCTTCCGCGTGATAACATTACGATGAAACAAAGATGTCAGTAGATATCGAAAGAATTTTATTAAAAATAATCGAAAATTATAATGTAGAAATACAATGATTAAGATTGAATTCTAATTAGAAAATGACTCTTTACATTTTAATCTATGACTAATAAACAGAAAACTAACGGTTGTAAATCTAATTGATAGTTTGCAACTACTAATAAACTCATCGTCTCTAAATATGACATAACATTCACTTGAAAAATGGAAAGCGTTGAAACAGTATGCGATCTCATGGATGACTTTGAAGTATGAAAAAAAAAGAAGTTTTATTTGTTTATTAAATGATAATGATGATTGAAAAAAATATTCAAAAACAAAAATATATATCGCTCGAATAATTAATGATCAATTTGATGTAGATGTTGATGAAGGTCGAATATAGATCGCATTAATCTTTTTTCTGTTTTTGCCAAGAAAATGATTGTTTAATGAAGAACTGATTTATAAAGATTTAGCAGACGTAATTGTTTAGAAATAAACTGTCTAGATCTTTAATTATATAATGGTTCATAAGGAATGTATTTAAAGTTGAACTTAACTATCTAATACATATTATTTTAAAAACTATTTGAAAGTAATTTATATCATAGATTCGTTGATATTTTTCAATACTTTTTTCATTTAATCTTTTATTCAAATATTTTTCTCTAAGAATCTTCGACATGAAAAAATTTAAAACACATGAATCATATATTTTGTCTGCTTGTTCGCATTTGTGTACTTAAACAAACATAGGTCATGACGTTTAATAGATGTAAATAGTACCGAATAATCTACATTCAAATCTACTAACTTTTCATTTCCAATTTTTCAATAAACAACTGATTTCTGTAAAAAAATAGTTGATAAATAGATATTTCTTCCCTAGTTATTTATTCAAATGAATGGGAAAAAAACGGATATTAAAAAAAATGGCTGAAACATAATCAAAAGTCTTTTTTTCTTCATCCTCGATCTGTCAATTTTGTTCATGATTTTGAATCGCTAGGTTTTCCTGGTGTATCTCTTGGACAATGGCATCGATCTGCAACTGGAACATCTTTTAATGTTTGTTCAATATGTTGACCACAGCCTTTCCACGTTGGTTTGCCACATTTTTCACAAGTCACTTTCATACACATTGTTTAGACGATCTGAAACAATAAGAAAAATTATTCTCTATTTTTTTTGTCTCTCGTCTAACACCATCATGTTCTCAATTTATATACGGCGTTAGAGAGAGGGGTAGAAAAAAAAAAGAAAAGAAAGTCGGCACCCATTTTTCTTTCCTCTACATCGACAAGGGTAACAGGGGAGAGGAGGTAAAGCTTTGGATGTATTTTGGAAGAATATGCGATTTAGCAGAAGGAAAAAAAATGTGTGCCCTTGTAGCACAACTAATGACATAGTAAATTTTAAAAAATGTATTCTGGAAAATAACAGACTGGAAAATATTGTAGATTTCTCAAATTTTTCGAAAACGAGAGACGGATATTGATGAATAGTAATCATGCAAGTAAATCGGAAAAAAATTTGAGTGTCTTAGATTCTAAAAAGAAGCATCAGACCGAATAACATCGATTAAGTCATTTGAAATTTATGATCATAGTTCATTTCTAATTTTGAACATTTTATAAAACATAACACTTTGATCTCATTTAACGCTAAGTGGATTTACTATAATGTATCTTAAAATATGAAAATAAATTACAAATATGCAATTGTGAATTTTTTTCTCTATGATATCATATTATATTTTATTTCGAATGTGTCTGAGATCGTTCATCGTATTGATTTTATTCTAAGGGTTCACATGAAGTGTTGTGCATTTATTATTTACTTGATTGTTCTTGAATTGGTAATCATCCGCAACTCATAAGTCATATGTTCATATTAAATATTTGATAGTTGAACTTATAGGAATCGAATTTATGATTCAGTTAAACAGATGATATTGTCTCGATTAAACTATTTCATACTGAAATCAAATAGTTAAATATGTAAAAAGACATTTTGCTGAATATTTCGACAATCTTAAAAGATTTTACAATAGATCATGAAAGTGTGTGACAAAGTTTTCAATAGTAGGAAATATTTCGAAAAGTGTTTTCGAGTTTAGGAGAATTTCGCTATGTGAAATTCTTTATATACGTGAAATCTATTTTCATCGTGAATAATTACTTTTTTGCTTATACAATACATGTTTTCCGAATGATCACTGAAGAAATTTATATGAATACATGTTGACTTAATAATGCTGTTGAGGAAATGAAATTCGATCGATTAATCAATGAAAGAGAATAGCGAATCAGAAAACAAATATTTATTTATTTTTTCATTGGAAAATAAAGATAAGTAAGAGAAAAAAACTGTACAGATTATCAATAAGCTTCTGTTCAAAACCAATCAAGATCCGGTATATCAGAAAATGAGAAATTTCGATCTCCTTTCCATGCCCAATAAGCAATACGTAAATGATAAAAACCAGGTAGAAAAACCAATGATCCTACAAGTATTAATGGCCATGTACGATCGCTATACTATAACAACAAATAAACAAGCCGTCATTACACCGTATTGAAAAGAAAAATACAAACTTGTGTTTCTATGCGACCAGTTAACATTAACGCGCCTAGTATAATCATCACAGAACCAATCAGAAAGAGAGCAATAGCTAAAATAATGGCATAAACGGGTACTTTGACCTGTTGCTCTTGAAACTAAAATCAAATTGGATTTGAAAGCTTTTTTTTGTTCAATATGAATGAGTGAGAACCTACTTGTAAGTCAGAATATTGATTTTCTTCGTGAAGTCGATGATAAGGTGGTGGTTTTTCATCATCATTTTTTGACTTAAAAATATTTCTAAAGAATAATACACACACACTATATATATAATTTCGGCTACATTAAGAAGAAAAATATTAGCATCAATATGACTAAAAATAAACATATACAATTGATATATTGATCCAATTAAAATAACGATAGAAGGTATCTTTTTACTCCGTTCTCTCGATTACTATTGAGAAATATTATATTCATCTTACCTTACCGGACTTCGGAAACGCTAAAAAAAAAGAAAAAAAATCTTAGTTTAATTGTCATGAAAATTGAAGGCATTAAAAAAAATAAGAAAAAGTAAACTAACAGAAATTATTAACCTTGATTATTTTCCATGAAATATTGTTATATAACACTTTAACATTAGAAAAAAAAAGTAGAAATCTCATTTATTCTAATTATATCTGAACGAAGTCATGAAATTCGAAAACAACCTTTTAGAATTTGTATTCATATAGTGTTTCTCTAAAGTATTCAGAATATTGAATCATGCAATTTTAGTATACCATCGAATATATATATATATCTTTCATGAACATGAGAGGTTTGCATTGACGTCAACTCACTTTCTCTATATAAAAGACTCTAACAGTGGAAATATTAAATTTTATTAACTGCATAAATTGATGTGACGGGTGTCCTAAAATAAATGTGCACCAGAATATTTTATCAATATCTTCGTCAATGTTCATTATTTTGACTTAAATTTTTTCTTGAAAGATATCTTGTTAAAACATATCAGTATAAAAATTAACCATCAAACATAGACAATATAACACTTACATAGCGTATTTCGTAACATTATTTCCTAGTTGTTTCATTCTCTTACCCGTTAGACATGTAAGATACAAACAAAATTAATCATCCATTCAAAAGCTCTTGAAAAGCTCTTTCTGAATATTTAATCAAATTTTCATTTACACGATTTGATTGGCGTGCAATCAAGCTTTTTTTTTTCTTATGTAGATATTTCAAAGATTTCTGTAAAAACATAAACATTCGCGTCATTTTGTAAAAATTTCTGTGTCTATGTGCTATACCAACTTATTTTTTGTGTTCAAATATTATTATTATTAGTGAAAACAAATGATTTCTTTAACAAACCTACATAACATTCTAGTATGAAATATAAGTTTGATAGAAAAAGTATGAGAATTTCAATAGTTTTCACATTGTTCTGTAAGAAAATTCGACATGAATGCATTGATATACTTTACAAAAAGAAAAATCTTCATCAAAGATGCCGAGAAAGAGCACACTTGAAAATTGAGACAAACCTTTCTAAATGCATGTCTAATCAGAACGAAAAAAGAACTAACTGTTGAAAGTAATTGCCGTTAATTTAAAGAAATACAATCTTCAGCACTGTAAGTTTGTTTTTGTGATACTGAAATGTTTTATATGTTTCGATAAAGAATATTTTACTAAAAAACTTAAGTCGAAGTAATAGATTATTTGACGGCAATAATGATAAAATACTAAGAGATCTATTTATTCTAGGACGTTCCTTATTGTGTTGATTTGATTAACGTTTATGAGTATCAGAAAATGTTTGATTATATCTATTGTTCATTTTTCGAAAGCATTGAAAACCCACCAATCCAAACTATAACACCAAGATCTGATATAATTGATATAAAAAAAAAGAAAATGCCATTGACTCAGTTATATAAATCTTTACTTTTAATTAAATATAAAATTCAATTTACGGAATCAGAATTGTCTTTATAATGTAGATTTTCTCAAATCTTACCGATCTTTTTTTATCTTTGTTTACTGCTAATTGATCATTTTTCTTCTGATCTAATTCAATGTCTGATGGTGTAACTGTTTCTGTTGTTTGCATGTTTGTAATAGATATTATATTGATTAATGTTTACATTGACATAAGAAATATTTTCTGAAACAAAAAGGAAAAAAAAATTAAAGTCGAAATATTTGTTTGTATAGAAAAAAAAAGAAAAAGAAAATTCATTCTTCGGATTTCCCAAAAAAAAAATCGAAACTACAACACACACAATAAGGAAAGAACAAAAATCATACGCTTCAAAGCAGAGAAAAAAGAGAAAAAAGTTGTGTGTTATCACATCACAACTATAAGACATGTATATTTGTTTGACTAGGAAACATCGAAGAAATAAAGCACAACACCACACACAAACGAAAAGAAATTGTTTCTCGGAAACACACAACAAATATCTGACATTGGGGGAGAAAAAAAAGGATACAAAGCAAGAAAAGAAAAAAAACACGTCATTTTATATATGAATTAGAGAAAGAGCAAAAATCGACTTTTTAAATATTGCTAAATATGACTCAAAATAATGTTCTACATGAGCACACAGATTCGCTTTCCACTACGTTTTGCACTCTGACTTCGACCATCTTTTAATGAAAATTTATTTCCACTACCACTTGTACCATTACCACCATTTTTATTCTTTCGTCCTTTACGATCTTTACGTGTACGTTCCTTCTGAAAAAGAAAACAAAATTAAATTGTTTATTTCACAATAAAAGAAAGAATTTTTATTTACATATTTTCTTATTTCTCGAACAAGTGTATAAAATGCTTCTTCAACACCTTGTCGAGTTTTAGCTGATGTTTGTACAAATGGCATCGATAATGATGCTGCAAAGTCTTTTGCATAGGATAAATCAATTGTACGTGTTGGTAAATCAATTTTATTTCCCACCACTAGAATTTGTTTTTTTTTTATTTAATTAAAATTAATAAAATATGTATATTATTTTTTATTTATACTTACAAACCATGGGAATATCATCAGCATCTTTTACACGTTTTATCTAAATAAATCGAAAAATAATTTATTCTTTTCAATTTATTTTGAAATTTTTACCTGTTCACGATATTGTTTTATTTCTTCGAATGATTTTGCACTATTAACAGCAAATACACATAAAAAACCTTCACCACCACGCATGTATTGATCACGCATAGCACTAAAATTTTAAATAAACTAAATTATAAAAATTCTTTTTCTCTAATACATATTCAAACCTGTATTCTTCTTGACCAGCAGTATCCTATAAATATAAATAAAAAACTTAGTTTAAGAGAAAAAAAAATACAGAAATATTTCTACATACAAGAATATCAAGTAAACATGTTTCACCATCAACAACAGCTTGTTTGCGATATGAATCCTCTGAATACATACAAAAATAAATAAATAAATCAATATCATATCAAATAGAAATAAATTTTTGTACCGATTGTTGGATCATATTCATCAATAAAACTATCAAATAGAATAAATAATCAGTTATTTTTTACATGTATCAAAAATATACATACTGATTTTGAATGAGTTGAATTGTCAATGCGCTTTTGCCCACGCCGCCAGCTATTTTGGCAACAAGAAAAAAATAAGTATTTATTTATTTTTTTGTTTATTAAATATATTTACCACCGACGACGACGAGCTTATATTCAGTCATGAGCTATCTACGTATGTTTTATTTTCTTTTTAATTCGCAGAAGAAAGTAAGTAATGAACAGAACACTGTAAACGAACACAAGATTGATTGCAATCTGTATATGAGAAGAGAAAGAACGAGAATAAAAAAGAAAGAAAAAGAAGACGCACTAACACACTTCTGCTTCCCGGAAGAATAATAAAAGCGATAGACGACGCATGCATATAACAGCAGGAGACTATTTTGAAACGATGCGCTGCTTGCAGTGAGTTTACTACTAAAAAGATTGTAGCACTTTTATTGCATTGGACAGTAATATTAACATGTCAAAATAAAGAAACGATAGATGCCACTCGATGATATTAAACAATAATCATTGTTCCGAGCGTTTTTGTAATGTAAAAATAAGAAAGTGTTTGAATATTTATACTGATTTTTCTTTTTAATTTTGTATTTAAGACTAAATTTGTTTTTTTCGAAACATCAATAAGCATTAGTAACATTTGCATATTTATTTTGTGATTTGCCTAATATATTCACTAAGTATAGCTCTTTCATTGTATATTTCAGTCTGTGGCACTTGAAATAAATTTTGGTAAATATTAAACTGATAAGGTCAATTTTATGAGATGTTTATTAAAAATCATATTTATTTATTCAAGCTGTCGACAAGTTACATTTGTTATTGTCAGAAATAATGATACAGAAAAAAAATGAACAACTCCCTATAAAAGTTTGCAAAGTATTTAACAAGACAATAAATAAGTTAATCAATAGAAAATTATAATTGTTTAAATTATAATTAATTGGTTTGTTGTCTTGTTATATATTGTGTGTAAATACAGATAGAGAGTTTTCTTTTTTTGTCTTGTCATGTTTCTTCCTGACAATGACAAGTATAACTTGTCGAAAGCATGAATAAAAAACAAATATGAGTTTTAATAAAAACCTAATAATAACATTTTTCGTATCATTTTTATACTGATTAATCTCATGCTGAAACTCTAATGCCTCTATAACCTCATTATTAAAATGAAGATTTTGATTCGATAAAACAATGCTTTCTGTTTGTAGTATTTCATCTATTAGTCAACAGCACTGCTAATTTAAGTAATAAAAAAGAAGGCGTCCAAGTGAGACATGCTGATTACGTCAATGCTTTGCACACACGTAGGTCTCAGTAAAACTAGAAGAAGGCTAAAATGATTTGTCCTCCAATGCTATTTTTCGTCAATTACCAGCATTTTTCTGTATTTGCTGCCTCAGGCAAGACTTACATGATAAAATTCAATTATGAAATTTTGCCTATAGATAGATATTATAATTATTAGAATATCCTATAAACTTCAACTTAAAAGAATATTTTCTTCTTGAGATATTGAATGTCCAAAGAGAAAAAAGTAATATGTGTCAAAAGAAAGTTTAGGACATCGAATGTCCTCAACATGTAACACCGTAAGAAGAAAATATTCATTTGGGCTGCAATTTTCAAAATAGCCTAATGACTATAAGACCTATCTATGAGTGAAATTTCACAATTGGATTTTATTTATATACCTTGCCTGAGGGAAAAAATACAGAAAAATGCTCATGACTCAAGAAGGACAACGTGCCAGGACGCACTCTTTTACACTTCTTCTATTTGCACTGAGATCTATTTTTGAGCAAAATGTTGACTTCATCGGTGCGTCACACTTGAAGATCTTCCATTGTAAAAAATAAACTTTCTTCAGCAGATTTTCTAATGAGTGTTAGTCAATTAAAGTAAAACATTGATAGTATTCCAGTCATGTATGAATACTATAACTGAAGGGAGATACCAATTGAAAACGTTCTATTCTATTATATTTACAACGTTGGATTGAAACTATTCTTCGTCGAAAGCAAAATACTTAAAAAGCTGTTAACGCAATTCTTGCGGGATTAAAATGCAAAAAAAAGGATCAGCTACTGTTGTTAATCACAGGAGATTTCTGTATTCCATCTATTTGAAACATATTCTTTCATTGCCCTTTTTACTTATTTCTCTAGAAATACGATAAGGAAGTAGTTCATATATTAAAATAAGAGGTTATTGACATACGAGATTTAATCGTCAATCAACACAATCTGTCGTGGCCTATGACGCGGAAGTTCATATTTTTACTTTTATACTTCAACAATCTTTCTAGATCGTGTTTCACAAAATATAGATTGTCTTTTAATGGAATAATCGAGATCTATCTACGTCTTAATATGGTTATAGAGAATAAAAAAAACTTTTAGTTCAATTAATGTCTCTACATAATCTATATGATAAAAGATAGAATTAAGTGCATGAAAAAGCTCACATGGTTTTTGTTTCATACTGTTAAATTTTTTTAAAGCATATGTAATAAGATACAGAAGAATTATTGTCAAATTATTTAGAAACGTGTGAAAACAGTCAAAATAGATTGGTTTTTTGAGCTTCAAAACACATTATAGAGATCACAAACAATATATTTAAAAGGTTTTTTTTAGGAGCATATTTTACAATTCTCGTTTGATTTGATAGTATCAAATTAGATTTTATTAAAAGTATGCTGTCAGAATTGTTATAAAAATAATCTTCAAAATTGACTAAACAGATCTCAAATTTATTGGACATAAATACAATATTTATAGTCTTTATTTGCTTTCCATTTCTATATTAGACAAACTCATATGTTGTTCATGTTCTATTATAAAGTAACAAGTTTCAAATTAGTACAAATTTGAATTTTTTCATATAAAAGTTTTGAGAATTTTTAATACTTCTACCTTCATTTTTCAAAGCTTGTGTGAATCTTTATGTTAACAGACTCTAGCAATTAAAATTTCGAAAATCGCTTCACTGAAAAGTTATTAAGAAACTGATACTATTTACAACTGAGGTCGAACCTTAACTCTCATTGGTGTATTAGTCATGTATGTTAACACTAAGAATATTCAAGGTGTTTAGGTGAGCACAACTCATCTATACTATAATATAGATCTCAAGAACTAATATTTATTAGCATATGGTAACATTTGCTTTTTATACTTACTCAAGAAAAAATTAGCCTTTCATCAAAGTTTATTTAATTAACTCAATCATAAATTAACACATATTTTTTGGGCGCTATTTGTAGATAAATAGAACATTTTTGAAATAATTAAAATAAATAGCATCAGTTCGATCTCGATATTTTCACTTGGCGTTTGAACGACTGTGTGACCCAGTATTATAGAATGGCATTTTCTTTTCTACATGACAAAACCTATTCCTCGTCAATGGCAAAAGTAAATTCTTTTGAACTTTTATCATCGACAAAGACTATCGTGACAAATTTTCGAAAAATGAAATTTTTTGCGGAACTGAGAATTTAGTAGTTACTACGACATGAAATGACGCACAAATAAGCT